GATCCCTGCCCAAATCGGTTCCCCTGTGGCTGGGAATCCCAGCCTGGCTCCACGCTTAAAGCAGCTGCCCGACCGTGGCCCCGGGAACAGGGATGGTGACCACCAGAGACAAGGGCTTTCCGAGCCCTTTGTCTGCACCTCCTCTCTGTGCAGAGGGGGTGCTCTCCCCCCCATCAAATGGATGAGCAGCTTGAGGCTCCGAGAGGCCAAGGGGCCCGCCTGGAGTCACAGAGCTCGGAGGTGGCTGCCTCAGGATTTGAATCCTGGCAGCCAGGCTGCAGGAGGGTCAGGAAGTGGGGTGGGAAATGGGCAGTTCCTTTGGAATCCCTGATTCAGCTCCTGGCCCCTGGACAGTCCTGGTGCACGGGACTGGGGGCTTGGAAGGGGAAGTGGAGGAGGCGGGGTCTCCCCTCAGCTTGACCCTGTATGGGCCCGTGGCCCAGATTCTCCCCCTGGGGCTTCTATTGAGGATAAACAAGCCCACTGTGTGCAGGGTCTGGGCCGAGATAATATGAGAGGGGGCAGGGTGTGCCAAGGCCACCCGGCTCCTTGTCCAGGTCACTCGGCCTCTCCCCAGGAAGCCGAGAGGATCCTGGAAAGTGTTAAGTGGGAGTAGCCAGTGGAAGGCACCTCCCAGGTGCCTCTTACGGACAGGTGGGCACACTGCCCAGCAGCTCCAACAGCTATGTCAGGAATGAGCCACTTCCCTCCAGCACCCCCCCCCCCGCCCTGCCCAGGGGACAGTGCAGTCACTCGGCCGGCCGCCATCCCCCGGGGCTTCCTGTGCGGGCATCAGTGGTGGGGCCCCGGCTGGCGCCTCAGCCTGGGGAGATCGCCAGCCAGGTGAGCAGGTGGCCAGCAGCCGTGGCCAAAGGCTCAGCCCAGCAGCGGGGAGGCCAGCCCCTTGGGGATGTCTCCTTCCGATTCCAGTTTTATTGTCTCTGAGCTCGCAGGGACACCCCATTCCTCACACCATGCTGAACATTTCACAAGCAAGGTTTCCTTCATTCCTCAAAACAATCCTGAGAGGGTGAGGACTTTAGCCCCATTTTACAGGTGAGGAAACTGAGGCCCAGGGAGGAAACAGTGACTCAAAGAACAGGGACCCAGCCTGAGGAGGGCAGTGCACCATCCCCAGTCTTCCCTGGTGTGTGTCCTTCCACCCACAGCAAGTCCCCTCTGGGCCTCGTTCTCCCCATTTATAAAATGAGTAGATGGGCCAGGAGCTGTGAAGGGACTTGGCCCCTGGAGATCAGAGCCAGCCCTTGTGGCTTTGAGCTGTGGCTCAGTCTGAGCTGTGGACTGTATGACTCACTGTGTGTGGTCAGGAGGGGGGTCCAGCACTGGCATCCTGAGTGGCCCAGGCCTAGCCTAGAGTCCACTGTGAAGGGGACAGCTCTGGTGCAGCTGGTCCTTAGGCAGGGTGGCCTTGGACCTTGGCCCAGCTGTTTGCAGGACCCTTGCTTCCTAGGGACCTGGCCGATCCTTGCCTGGGGGCTCCCAGGCTTGTCCCCCGCCCTGGGGAGGGCCGCAGGCCTTATTTCTATGGCCTGCAGAGGCAGCCCCCACGCCACCCCATGTGGCTCTGACCTTGGTGTCCTGGCAGCCGTCCCTCCCTGGGCTCGCACTGTGGGGAGCCTGGGTGCTGGCAGCTCCACCGGGCAGGCCCGCCCCTCCCTCCTTCCCCGGAGGTGAGTGGGTCCCCAGAGCGGAAGGAGGCAGCAGGGCAAACAGGAGATAAGAGGCTGAGTAGGGGGAGGAGGAATGTGCCACAGATAGCTCCCGGGGTGTGTGTGACAGGGGCAGGGTGCTGGCAGCAACGGGCCCTGGGGACGGACCCCCTTCTGCAGGAACAGCAGGGCCTGAAGTTATCAGTCCCCCCCCCGTTTGCTGGGTCAATAACTCCCAGGTCACCAGTTTACTGCCATCAGGGCGTAGAGACAAAGTCCAGGCTCCACATCCTTGGGCTGAGGTGGTGCCTGTGGTCACTCACTGGGCCTGGTGTGGGAAGGTGACTGGCCCTAGGCGAATTGCCACTGTGACCTCTTAACCCCAGGACCTTGCCACCTGAGGCCTAGGAGGTGGCCAGGCCTGGGGGGAGGGGCTCTGCTGGGGGCTGGGCTTGCGTCATGCAGAGGGTGGCTGTCCCTGAGTCACCCCACGCTGCCACCTGAGGGGCGGGCACCAGGAACTGGAAAAACCGGGGTACAGCCCTAGGTGCAGCCGCTGTGCCCCAGTTCCCCTGCTTGGAGTGGCCGGGGCCTGCCAGGCAACTGGGGCCAGAGACGCTCCACACAGGTGTGCCAGGGTGTGCCAAAGCCAGGCTCTTGTGCCAGGCAGGTGGGCGTCCAAGCATATGCCCCCCGGGGTCCCCTGGGTGTTGAGACACTGCTCACCTCCGTGGCCCCAGAGCGCATGCTCAGCTGCAGCGGTAGGTTTTGCCCTTGATTCATTCATTCACGTCTGCATCCCGCCATGCAAGAGACCCTGGCTGAGATCCTGCCTGTGCCAGACCCTAAATCACACTCCCTTCCCGCTCCCGGGAGGGCTGGGTGGCGGGGTGGGGGGGGTCTGCCAGTCTCAAAGAGGATTCTAATATGTGCAGAAATGATTTCAAATGACACGCGAGAGCCAGGCTGTGAATTCCCCTGGAAACGAAAGATGTTTATCTGTGTCGTCACGTATCCCAGCACCCAGCTCCGTGCCAGGCTCGTAGGACGCTCTCCTTTCTGTTTGGTAAACATGAGATTGAGTAACAGACGCCCTGATGGGGCCTACGGGGGCCAGCAGTGGGGCAGTCTGGGAGGCCGTGTAGGGACCCGTAAGCTGGGTATTGAAGGGTGCATAGGAGTTTGTTGGTCGCCCAAGGAAAGGCGGGTGGGTGTGATTCTCTCCCCACTCGCCTGCCCAGGATGCCAGGTTGGAGGCTCACCGGTGTCCTACTCTGGGACCCCCCAAGCACTGGCAAACTCCTGGCAAGCCTGGGGAGATCCCGGTCTTTCGGGGTTGGAGGAGGGGCAGCACATTCTCATCAGGCAAGCACATGTCCCGTTGAGGCCGCCTCTCCACTGCATTATCTGGCACATCCGCAGCGGAAATCTCTCCAAATTCCCTCTTTCCTGCCGGCAGCAGGCAGGCCACCCCCAGGCTCTGGGGCCAGGGAATGGAACCCATCTCTTCCCCCACTTCCTCCTCTTGGCCTCCGGTGAGGGACTTGAGAGCACAGGGTGGCCAGTGAGGGCAGGTGGGGGCTTGCAGGTGTCTGGGGCCCTGGGTGGAACTGACCGTGAGCCATGGGGCTTGTGGTGCACTCGCCAGCAGGTGATCCAGGGCTGGGAAGGGTGACTGTGGTTCCAGGGGCTGGACATGCTGCCCCAGGCCCCTACTCTGCTGGACCTGGACCAAGGGCCAGCACTTACCTGGAAGGCAGGTGCCTCAGGGGACAAGTCAGGGCATTTGGGGGGAATTGTAACCCCAAGATAAAGACGGCCTGGCTTCTGGGAGTCTCATTTTTTTAAACTTGGAAGATTTGGGGGAAGAGAGAGCTATTTATATGTGGTGGGGAGGATGGAAAGTACACGTGGATTTCTTAAATCCAACAGGAGACTTTGAAAGACACTTGGGAGGCCACATTAGCGAACCCCCCCAGCCCCCGAGCAGGGAGTCTATGCTCTTCCACAGCAGATGTGCCCAGTTGGAGGGGATCTGAAATGAGTCCTGGATTTTTCTGGCTGTCAAAGCAGGTCAGGGCTCGACTCCTCTCTCTTTGGGCTTATTGCAAAGTGTTGATTTTTTTTTTTTCTGAACTAAATGTTTTATTTATTTTTTTCTTTCTTTCTTTATTTGTGCATTACTGTTCTTAATACACCTTTATACTACCATTTATCATGCTCAAATTGGAAGTTGATTTCTCTTAACTCCAAGTCGAGGCGTTCCTGGGCAGGGAGGCGGAAGGAGAGAGGTCAAAGCCAGGCATCCCGGGTTTACATTTGGATTTCGTGTCTTGTTAGCTTGGAGACCTTGGGCAAGTTGTTCTGCCTCTGAGCCGCACTTTTCTCACCTGAAGAATGGGGTGCGTGTTGGTGGCCGTGGTAACAGGTGTATTGTGAGGACTGATGGACGCGAGGTGCTTGGCCCAGACCCTGCACACAGTGGGCGCTTCATGAATGCTCACTGTCCTGGGGGTTCCTAGCTTTGCAGAGATCAGGCATCGTTTCTGGGCCTCCACAGCCCGGCTGCGTGTCCCCAGCCCCCTGGTGCCCAAGCTCTCAGCCTGTGCTTAGGCAGAGGGGATAGGAGAGGCTGTTCGTGTGATCCCCAGGCCAAGGTGGCTGTGGCTGGGCTGCCTCAAGGGATGGCCAAGGGCTGGGTGCAGCCCAGTTCCGGTTGCACTTGGAAGTCACAGTCTAAGAACTTATGGAGCTTCTGTCCCCTGCCTGTCTCTGCTCACACAGGGTACTGTGCAAAGGGGGCGTGGCCCCACTCTGCAGCCAAGGGCGAGCTGCGGGGCATGATCAGAGGTGCCC